CAGAGGCAGTGAGACCAACTGGCTACTCCACAGACAATAGTTACGTCCTGTCTGCCCTTCTAATCGCTGGCCTGGCTGACATTCCCCTCAGCTCCCACATTTCTGGTGGCCAGAAATTAAATTTGTGAATGGAACTTGTAAACTTGTACATCAATCCAGCAACACACACATATGGGGTGTGGAGTACTGTAGCTCAGTGGTTGGATCATTCGCCTCGCAAGCGAGAGACCTGGATTCAATGACTGGCAGGATGAAACGTTGGGCACGTTTTCTTATTCCACACGCCTCTGTTTACATAGCAGTAAGTAGGAAACTGGTTGTTAGTCGATTGGCGGCAGATCAGGAGCTCGTACAGCTGGGCTCGATGCCTCTCCACTTCTACGAAACTCACACTGAAAGTTTCATTTAAAACATATAAATATATTCATGAAATGTCTTTGAAACAATTTACAGCATATTTCTCATGAAACCCATAGTTATCTGTCTGCTATTTATACAGCCATGAATCAAGCTGGATATAACACAATCACAAAAACACTGGGGAACTTGGGAATGGAAAAGGGCCTTTGGCCCATTAACCCGCTCTTTACACATTCCATGTAAAATTTGCCCCATCAATGACTTTTATACCCATTTAATCTCCTGAGCGACTGTTCCGCTTGATTTCTCCCCGACCTTGAAAGTGAATCATGTGAAACACCACACCATAGAATCATACAATTTTAGCACAGAAATGAGGTCACTGTGGCTGAGCCCTGCTAAAATCCCCAGTGAAGCCAGCTACTTATCCCATTTCTCTGCTCTGCCTTGTATCCTCCTTTTGACATCTTCATTGTTCAAGTGCTTATCTAATTCCCTTTTAAATAAAATAATCGACAACTCATGACATCCCACTCCACCATTCTATTCCCATTTACCCATTGTAGAACCCAGTCTTCCTACAAACCAATATGCTCTATGAGTGCATTTGATCACATCCATCCACATTTTGACCATGACACCTGAAGAAATTCCCTTGTGTTTCCGAATAACAACATGGAATCTTTAACTTGCCCCTCATCCAAAGGATGGCACCACCGACACTGAATTTAAGAATTTTCCAAAGTTTAGAGCAATTTAAATCTTGAGACAATGGTCCGAAGGGCTATGCTCATCATCATAATAATAATAAAAATCATGAAGATTTTCAAACACTGATTTTTGTTTCTCGACAAACAAAACATCCACAACCAGAAGAACAAAAAGGGACGTGACACATGACAGAGAAACCACATTCATGTCTGTAAGTCGCTCCTGTATTGTTGCCGCCTGGAATTTACCCAGCAACGACTGAACAAGTTCTCAAGCAGTCTAAAAACTGAATGCTGCATTAAGATCCTTTTTTGTTCAACTGTAATAGAGGGCACCCTCCAGGACTGCAATTCAATTTAAAATAACGTACATATCTGACATGAAACCATCCACTGATGGCTAGAGAGGTCAGTTCACAATGTCCGACAAGGGAGAGAATGGTTTTGCAGCTCAGGTGGGAAGACTACCATGACGAGGTTAAAGACTAAACATCTGATTACATTATCATGTGAATAGACCATCACGCCTGTCCCAGATTATAAGAAAATGAAACTTCTGCACAGAGCTGTTAGTGCAAATGACTGGATAAATGGATAACATAACCTTGGACCTTTTCAAGTGTGCCTTTTTGCATTTAACCCATGATATTTGTTAAAAATATATCCATGACATGTCTAGTCATTATCTCTTTTTGCTCAGTTGGTAGGTCTCTTTATTCTGGGTCAGAAGATTACGGATACAACCCTGACACTAAGCATTTACCTCAGCTGATTCTCCAGTACAGGGCAACAACAGCAACTTGCATTTATATAGCTGCCAATTTGCACAGAAGCAATGTCCTACAGTCACAAAATGTATGACTAATCTATCTGGAGAAACATTTATCAGGGTTCAATTCCCTGACACAAACTCCCTGGGTATTCATCTACAAAATACACAGTCAGTGCTCTTTACAGTAAACCCTGTGAAATATTTTGAAGCATTCTCCTGATGTGAAAGGTGCTTTATCAAAAGCAAGGATTTGTATTATTATCATCAAGGGCAACGTATTGTCATGCATTCAGAATTGGTTGAAGGGAAGCAGACTGGAACATCTGGTTGAGGTCAGGATGCTTGAATTATTTTTTAAAAAATTTGAACTTTGAAGGGAAGATGGTAGACTGGATATTCTGGAAAGGTGAGATCAACCGGACTGTACCAATCTTGTCACCTCAGATTTTTTCACCCACAAAATACAGTCAATTCACTCTACTGTTCAATTCTGTGAAGCGCTTTGAGACATCTCAACGACGTGATAAGGCGCTGCATCAAATGTAAGGATTATTATTATTATTTCACCCAGGTGCACAGGAATGAACTCAGCTGGAATCACCCTTCTGTCATTATATCACTCCGTCCCACCCACCCCCCAGCCAAACAGCCAGCAACCTTGTTTAGTCCGCCATTGACATACGTCACCCATTCACGCAATTGTATCCCAGTGTGAGCTAGGGAGAGAAGAGAATTTAAGCATGTTTTTAAAAATTGTAAGCATTGCAATATTTACATAAAACAGAAAGAACATAATCTCCCAAAATCAAAATGTAGGTTTGGCCGAGCACGTCTTTGAAACGTAGAAGGATCCACACTTTGTATTTACCACCGAACCCGCCTAACCTTTTAAGAAATACAATGCAGGTCAGCTGTACTGCCCCCGTGGTAGACACAGAGATGACAGAAACTCTCTTCCCTCGGCTCTGTCAGCAAGCATGCAGATTCAGTGATAGAGCAAAAATGAAGATTTATGCTTTCAATCTATATCTCGCTCAGGCACCCTGTCAGAACCACAGTTCTAATTAAAATAATCAATCAGAAAGCAGGAGCAGAGGTTCAAGCGCATGAAAAGTGTCAAGCGTTCTGTGCCAACAGATAGGATCAGAACAAAGCCAGGCTGCAGGAGACTTATGGGGCAGTTTTAGCACTTTAACCGGTCTAGTAGTCGCTGAATGGATGACTGGTACAAACTTCATCCTTGGATTCCTGACAGTGAAAACTCTTGAACAGTCTTTAATCTGTATTAAGCATCTGCTATTCTTGAACAAAATACCTGCATAAAAAGTAGGGAAGTAATGGTTAATTTATATAATTTAGTCCACATTATGAGTACTGTGTGCAGTTTTGGACACCATATTACTGGATGGATTGGAGAGTATTGGAGAGAGTACAGCTGGATTTACAAAGATGTGACCCGGGATGGCTCGACACAGCTATCAAGACGGATTGGATTGTTAGAACTCTTTTCTCCAGAGTTAAGATGATTTAAAGGGGACGTGACTGAAGTGTTTAGGATTATGAATCAATAAGGTGGATGATGATCAGCTATTTCCACTTGTTCAGTCCAATCGAGTCGGCTATTAGTCGAACTAACAGGGAGTTCAGGACGTATCTCGGAACAGAGCGAGGTCAGTGTGGAACTCCTTGCTGGGAGCTGTGATTAAAGCAAAATACATCAATTTTGTTTTAAAAAGAAGCAAAATGCACAAATGTATTTGTGAGAAAACTTGATGCATAAATGAGGGAGAAGGGAATGGTGGGGTGTGGGTGAGGGGAATAAGAGAGTTGGGGGCTTGTATAAACACCAGCACTAGTTAGGCCGAATAGCCTGCTTCTGTGTCGGATGTAACTCTCGGCAATCTTCATGTATCAGATCCTCAGACAAGCAGCATTATTACTATCCACGTGGATTAAGTAAAGCTTCAAAATGTAGGATTGAAAAATACAATGCTATGTAATAACTAACAGATAGAATATACTATTACTGAAATTTCTGTAGATAATCATCAATTGGTTTTGGGTAACGTTACTCCCACCACCCCAACTTCAGAAAAACAAATCCTAACTTCAGCACAACTGTTCGGCTCAATAATTGAACACTGTTGTTTCCTATCACTGAGCGCTGTTTCAGTGCAGTTTAAGTGAATCCCCTGGAATTACTGTCCTTGTAATACTACTACTGCACAAGTGGCATCTGTTGTCCTTGAAACACAGATTACTTTTTTCTACACAGAATGCAACTCTGGCAGTTAAGGAAACTCTTTTCTGTGACTCTGATGTACATAAACAGAATCTGATGATATACTACATAACAGACATTTCCTCCAAGGTATCCGCAGCAGGAAGACCTCTCCCTTTGCACCTCCTCAGGTCTGATTTACAATTTGTATGATATTTTGTATCACCAGATGTGCTCAGTGAGGCATATGTACCACTGTGTTCCTCACGCTCCATGCAAATGGAGCAAAGAATGTTCTAAGTATAACTTCTCGTCTCCAGACACCTTTCATTTAATGTCTTGAGCAGGGAAATTTTCAATTAATGGACACATTGAAACAAAATAATAATAATCCTTGCATTTGATTAAGAGCCTTATCACATCTTCGAGACGTCTCAAAGTGCTGTACATACTGTTGTGAATTGACTATATTTGTTTTGGTAGACATGGAGCAGAGCAGTGTCCCACAAACAGTTGTGGATTGAGTGACCAATTTATTATTATTTATTTCTGTAGGAATTATTACGTCGGGAAAAGCAGTCCGCCAATCGCCGAACAACCGAGTTCCTACTTACTGCTGGGTAAACAGAGGCGTGTGGAGTAAGGAAACTTGCCTAACTTTTTGCCCTGGCGGGAATCAAACTCAAGTCTCTCGCTTGCGATGCGAGTGCTCTAACCACTGAGCTACAGGACTCCACAAATGAATTCAATGTCAGCTGTTCTAGGCATGCAAAGGATGTACAGGTGTTTGTAATGTCAGAGCCTTGGGACGTCCGCCCGAAGTGAAAGGCGCTATACAAATGTAATCGTGTTGTTGTTGTTGTAATGTTACGTACAATGCACCTTTTCTCACTAATATAAGCTTTCAGTGTGTTGACATGCACTACCGTCTTCCTACCTGAAGGAGGGGCCGTTGCACTCCTAACACTTTCATGGTATCGGCACTGGCCAACACTTTCAAGGGATCGGCAACCTTGGTTGCGGCTTCAATTTCCTTGTTCACCTCAATGTGAACCTGGTTGAGAAAGAAGTTCTTGATGTACGTGGTGAGGAATTCTCGCAGTAGGCACGGCTTGTCTGGCCCAGGCCCCATAGCATGTTCAATTTCCTGAATAAACCTGAAACAGAGGAGAGACGGACAGACTGAGCGAGGATCCCTTGTGCATTTCAAACAGCCCCTGACTTGCGAGGGGAGAGAATGATGTGAGTGCAGCCTCCCATGCTGTTCGTACTCAAACCATACATTCAATCTGCAAGACCAAGGAACACAGCTGTTTATAGGAACCGAATGCTTTAACATCACAGCATTACAAGTACAACAACCACCACAACGTAGATTTATACAGCACCCTTCACAAAGTGTTATTATTATTAAAGTAGATTTAATAATAATAATAATCCTTGCATTTGATATAGCGCCTTATCGCGCCTTCGCGACGTCTCAAAGCGCTTCACAGGATATAACGTGAAGTGAATTGACTGTATATTTTGTGGGTGAAACGCTATATCCAGAGTTGGCCTGAAAACTCTCACGCTGGAGTTACATAGACTCTCTCTTCCTTCCATGTGCGGCTTCAATCATGCCAGTTTCTAATGCCTGGCTACATGGCAAACAAGTGTTTTTTCATTGAATACAATCAGGCTATCAGTTCCTGTCAAGGGACTTGGCCAAATTGGCCTTTACATAAGGGTGGCCTTTATATAAGGGTGGCCTCTGAGTAAGTGTTTGTTGGTGTGCAAACCAGGCCGATGGTTGTTAACAGGGGGTGGTTGCTGAATGGAGGTGGCTGCTTGAACAGGTTTGTGGAATCCCGTAGCTCAGTGGTTAGACCACTCGCTTTGCAAGCGAGAGACCTGAGTTCAATTCCAGGCAGAGGGCGAAACCTTGGGCAAGTTTCCTTACTCCACACAGAGCCTAATAATAATCCCTCCAAAACCAAAAACAATAATAAATTGGTCATTTTCAATCTACGACTGTTTGTGGGACATTGCTGTGCGCAATTGGCTGCCGCGTTCGCCCACAAATATACAGTCAATTCACTTTACAGTGTGTTCTGTGAAGCGCTTTGGGACGTCATCCCGACGTGAAAAGCGCTATATCAAATGCAAGGATTATTATTATTATTATTATTGATATTAACAACAGCTGATGCTGCCACCTGCTGTATACTTTCTTCCAGAATTTAATTTGTAATCTTCATCTTGAAGGGGAACTTTATGGGAAACATTATGTAATGTAAATACAAACCCTCCCACTCCAATAGACTTTGGAAAATAAATTCAACAAGTCACGAGAGAGCTCCATTCCTCCTGTGCTGGATATTCTGTCTGGAACAATTTAGGATAGGTTTATATCCCAGAATTCTGCAAATGTCAACTCTTCCATTTCAACTCAGGCTCTGCAGTCCCAATTATTGTGAGTGCTATGAATTTATCTTTTAACCTGTACAATGCAACATAGAAACGACTGGGCATGTGCAAACAAGTGTAACGCACAGCCAATTCCAAATTACAACTTTTATTTTGAGTTAGCAGTCTGTGAGAGAAATGGCTTGAGCAGACCAGTGTTGCCAATCCCTACAGCAGTTGGCCTGAAATCTCAGTCCCCACCCTGGACTATGGTTGGGGGAGCAGGCATTTTCCCTCCAGTTTGCAGCCTGATGGACACCAAAAACGGGAAGAAGGCAGACCTCAGGACAGTCCATGCCTCCGACGAGAATTTAACACTTACACTGGAGCACCGATTCTGAAATGTAACAGTGATCTAAATGGAGGCCTTTCCACTCTTTAATGTTTATAGCGCTTTGAGACGTGTCAATGACATGATAAGACGCTACATCAAATGCACGGATTAATATTACTTAAACGTAAGCAGCAACACTATTACCATCCCACACCCGTGCCTGTACCATCTGTGGTCTCTGCAGCTCTTGATCAAAGCGCCTACTCCTATGATAATAATCGCTGCATTTGATACATCGCCTTATCGTGTCGTTGAGACGTCTCAAAAGCAAGTCACCGAATCTATTGTAAAGTGGATCGACTGTGTATTTTGTGGGCGAAACATGGCAGCAAGTTTGCGCACAGCAACGTCCCACAAACCGCCATGGAGTCAGTAGTCTTTTCGAATAGCGTCGCGGGAGATCTTTTAAGTGCTCTCAGACGCTACCCTACGCGGAGAGCTCTATATAAGTGCAAGTTGTCGTTTAACGTCCACCTGAACAGGCAGACGGGACCTTGGTTTGACATCTCATCGGAAAAACGGTGCCTCCAACAATTCAACAGCCCTCCAGCACTGCGCTGGAGTGTCAGTGTAGATGATGTGATTCCAAGTTCTGACCCGGGGCTTGAACCCACAACCCTCTGACTCAGACGAGATTGCTATCACTGTGCCAGGCTGACGCACCTTCTATCTGAGACTCCAAAAAATATTTTTCCATGACAGGGTGAGTAACCTGGAGTTTTCATTTCCAAATGCATTACAATTCATATTATTTGATTCAAACAATTTTTATTTGACATAGTGTAATATACACTCTTACTGTTTGGGGCTATAAATCTTTCAAACTGGTACATTAATATAATAAATGCAAGGCAATGTGTCTTCAATATGGATGCGCACTGTCTCTATATGAACTGCATTATACCGGGTCCTATTCCCATCGTTTGAAATAAGGACATAATGGTCGTAAACCAAATGACAAATTCAGGTACAGTGGCAGCCAACTGGAAAAAAAAGTAGTCCAGATTTCTCTGTCCCTTCAGACTATGGCAATGGTTGTATTTGCTTCAAATTAGTGTCATTTCTCTTGAAATATTTTTTCTGCACTGTACAAAGCTGAACAATAGGGACTAGGAAGGTCCCAAGCTCCACCCATGCTGAGTTAGGTGACCTCTCCTTGGGTAACTCTAAGCCTGACTTCAGTAACTTTAGAAGAGTGGAGGGGGAAAAAAAAAGTAGATTTTCTTTTAAGAAAGTTTCTGTTTTGCTGAACCTGCAATATGCTGTTAACAGTGACAGTGATGAACTGCGTTTTGCTTCCTGCACTGCAAGATTCATTTAATACCTCGCCCCGTGAGAAGAGGTTTCTTGTGTGTGCTTCCTCCCTGTAATTTGGTCAGAACAGGAAGCTATTAATTAACTCGGGACTTGAATTCAAATGAACAGAGTAGTGGAGGAACTGAACAGAACTGGAGGAAACTGAGCAAACTGAACTTACTGGCACCACTTCCCTCAATGTCTGGATTTTCCTGGGGTTCGGCCGAGCTCAGAACGATGAGAAAAAAAGGTTCTCCCCTCTCTAATGTTAGCATCCTGAGTAAAATGGGTAAGGCACAACTGCCACGGTACAAATGGCACCAGATTGATAATTTGAGAATGTATGTGAGAGGCGGGATGAGAAATGGTCGTTCGGCTCACTGAAGCTCATCCCTTTAGCCTTTAGTACATTAACTCTCCTGTCTTAGCAAGTCATTGGGTTTCCAACAACCACAATCTTTCTGCTATTACCTTTCTTGGAGATTATTCCAAATGTTTATCATACTTTGAATAAAGACCTTTTCGTTCCAAATTTACTTTTTTTTTCCATTTACGGCCTCTAGTTTTACTTTCTGATTGGTCTGACATAATTTACTTTAAATAGTTATGAATCTATCTTGTTTGCCAACCGTCTTGTGGCTCTTTTTCTCTACTTAAGCACACCTAGATACCGTCCGGCATGAAGGGCGCTATATAAATGCAAGTTGTTGCTGTTACTTTTTCTAAAGCAAGTTTACCTTTTTTGTAGCTTAGTGACTGTAACCAAACACTGTCTTCTGAATGTGGCCTGACCTTTGCAATACAGTGGAGCCTTGTGCTAGTTATCCATAACATCCCATCCCAAATAATAGGGGCCTGACTGTCTGTGAGCACAGGGAATATGATGACTGGTTCCCACATTAAAGGGAAAAATAGCCTTACCTCTAAATCTGTATTATGCACATATGCAAACTGAAAAGTGAGTCTGTCTGTGGAGACCTGATGATCCAGAATTCAGCCATTTTAAAATTGTGAGAAGCTAAAATGGCCAACGTGCAGGTCATTAGGGCGCTGCTGACGTCACTTCCTGCTTTGTGCACGTGAAGCAATGCAGGAGATGACATAGATGGCAACCCAATGAACTGGAAGTCGGCCTTTTCAGTGCAAAAAAAAGCCTACACATGGAAAACGAGCAAGCCAGCTGCCCTCATGAATGAGATCCACAATGCAATCACATTATAAGTGAATTCACACTATAGTGGAGCACACTATGGAGGTGCTGCATTGTACCTTACTATAACTTGTGCAGACTTATATTCTACTGATCTGGTTGTATACCTTAACATTTCTCATGCTTCTTAATTGCTTCCCCAAGTTGTCAGGACACTGAAAGGGATGAGTTCATTACTGGCAGGTTTTTTCCGCCTGGCTGAGATCAGTTAATCGAGTACAGGCTAGACATTGAACCTGGACCTTTCAGGATTCCATGACTCAGTTACTGATCGAGCCATTTGCAAGAACTTCCTTAGATTCTTGCTTTCCACCGATAACTGACAAAGAGGGACATTTCTGCTGCTCACAGGGCCAGTCATTTTTTCTCACCTCATTCCAAATGGAAAAGCAGGGCAGAAAAAGAACATGGACAGAAAATGAAAGCAGTAGTATATTTTAAGAATTTTCCATGAATAAAATGGATGTGTGCTGCCTACTCTGTACAATGGTAATAGTAATCCGTTTCATACTCTGTACACCTTTGTAAAAGTATCGACATTAAGAAAGCTTTAAAACTGATTTAAAAAATGTCCTCATCTGAAAAAGTATGAAGTCTGAAGCCATGAATAATAACCTTGGTTTAATATGGTTTAAAAACCTCAAACTCTGATGTATATGTCAATGACATCCAATATTAATCCTGCAATCAGAAAAGATTAGAGTGCACCTTATATTGTGACATCCCTGCGAGATCTCACACTGGTGCCCTTAAGCTGCCAGAAGACGTGCCTGTTTGTCTCAGCCTTCTAAACATTGGTGGGTAAATATTACATGCAACTGCATCTATTCTGAAGTCACTGCAGAGAGCTGAAACAAGATTAAATTCTC